GGGTGGGTGGGTGGATGGATGGATGGGAAAGAAGTATTTGAAGACTGTGGCTCGATGGTAAATTTTGAAAGCACAAATAAAAACTTCTGTTTGCGGTATCATATGAATTAGAAATTTTACAAAATTGTCTCCTAATCAACAATGTCTCAATATTAGTTTTTTTGATAAGCATAAACATTTTAGAAAGGAGTCCTGGTGGTGCAGTGGTTAAATGCTCGGCTGCTAACCGGAAGGTCAGTGGTTTGAACCCACCAGCCGCTCTGCGAGAGAAAGATGTGGCAGTCTGCTTCCGTAAAGATTTATAGCCTTGGAAACCTTATGGGGCAGTTCTTCTCTGTCCTACAGGGTCTCCAGGAGTCGGAATCGACTCAACGATAATAGGCTTTTTGGGAAACATTTTAAGTAGGAAAATACTAACATGTTGAATAAAAAACATCAGATACACAATTATTTTACTGAAGGTTTAAAGTAAGTTATATTTAGGAAGGAATCTCTTGTTAAACATCTTTAAAAACAGGCCGCAGTGCCAATCCCCACTGATTCACTCTCATTACCTCAATGGTTGTTTTATAAGTTTTTAAAAGAAGCGATGCTCTATCTTCAAGAAATGTCCAAAGCTTGACTTCATTGTCCCAGCTAACAGGAAATTCAGAGTTACCCAAGGTGAAGATTCTATCGATAGCACTGTCTCCTAGCAAATGTTCTTTCAATTCTTCTGCAAGAAATACAAATAGCAACCTGTTAGGGGGAAAAAGCGGCCGCATTCCTCATGTTAACAAACAATCCACCTTAGAAAATGTCTTTTCCAACAAAGCTGTTTTCCCGTGGTTAAAAGCTCTCCCTGATCCATCAGCCAGGCCATTCCTAGGCTCTCCAATGCAGAGTTACCGGGAAATTTCTGGGAGGAAGAAGGGGATGATTCCAGTATCAATTCCAGCATCGTCTTAATCTGAGTCCAGATCCAGCCGCGGCACAGCACTCTGTTGTTCATCATTTTTACCAGGGAAACTAACAGCCTTTTGACAGTTTCCCAATAAACTTTTAAAGACAGTCTATGCGGCACACTCCTTACTGGGACAATACCCTTCTCACTAGCCATGGGCTCAGTCACACCAACTGGGTGAAAGAGACATTTAGGCGAACAATGTAAATAGAACAAACCAACACAAGTTCCAATAACCCAGTGATTCTTCTAAATTTAAATCTGATTGTACTTATTCCAGTGGTTGACCTGACAAAACGATTTACTTTCTCTTATAGCAAGTTTAAGACACAAATAAAAAGAAACAAGAAAATCAACTATAAAATTCTTAGTGAAATATTTGCCTATATATCGCAGGAATCTAAATACGAATTACAAGTGAACATCTCAATTACCTTCCAATGTATTTAAGAAAAGGAAAGAATTCAGCAAATGCTCCAAGGACATTATCTCGAAAAGACCAAAACACGCCGGTTCTATTCATGCTCAAGAAATATACCCATGCGTCTGATGCAATTATGAGACAGTATCTCTTTCAGAGCGAAATGCCCCACAGCTGTCACTATTTACAATTCAAACGGAAGGACGTCTCCTGCCAGCAAGCCCAACTTTTATTAGTATTAGTTAGAGTAATTCAAAGAATACATCGATTGTCTTGACATGACAAACTATCTTTCTATGACTAAAGAGAATCAATGGCCCTAAAATGATTCAAGCATTTTTTTTCTTTTAAGAAAACATAAGTTGATCTAATGTTCAAAAAAGAAATGTATTACGTTGTATTTGTTAGCAATAGATCAGGATAAAATTCAGGATTTGTAGATTTTGATCCTTAAGTCTATACTCTTTGTGTAATACAATGAATATGGAAAAAAAAAAAAATGCTGCCTTAGTGGTGGAAATTTCTTTTTAGGAGCCCCAAATACTTAAGGTTCTTATTTTAGGTTTCTTCCCCACCTGCCTAAACTGAATCTTTAATGTCGCAAAGCCAAGGGGTAGGAAGCCAGAGCTTTCCTTCTCTGCTACCCTCCAGCAGTAAACGTGACTCATTTCACACTCCTGGAGAAATGGAGCCTGCAAACAGGAAAGAAGACAGTGTCGCCACAAGACTGTCCGAAATGCTGGAGGCAAAGAACACGCTTCTGGAGTCGGCTGCCTTCCGTGCTTTATAACCAATCCACCCTGCTACTCGCTGTGCTTCTGAGTCTCCCATGCCCTCACGGTGGCGCCCCAGCTGCCCCCAGCCCACCCACCGGGGAGGGGGTTTGGCCGCCCCAAGGGCAGCAAGAGCAGAAGAGCCGCCCCCCGGCCTCCTCGCTCCAGCTTCAACCTCGTCCCTCTGCTGGGAATGGCCTCGTAGTCCTTGTCCTCGGGGTCCTCATCCTCCTCAGCCAAGCCCAAACAGTAGCTACGTTCTCAGGACTAATTCAAACACCATTTCCTCCCGACCCTGAGAGTACTAAGACCCTCTTCCATGGACTACGTTATCTGCAAACTGGTCGGGGCCAACAAGGGATGTTTGGGGCCCAGGCTCTGCAGTTAACAGGGTCCCCACCTCCTGGCTGAGAGACCTCAGCCATTGTTATTCCTGTCTCTGAACTGGAGTTTCCCCATCGGGAAAATGGGAACATCTACCTTACAGGCCGCAGAGGACCACAACTGCGTGCCACATCTAGCATCATGCCTGACACATGGCAGGTGCGCCGTAAATCCAGGGGTATCAGCCCACCAACTCTCCTAATTATAAACTCCTCAGGGAGGAGAACGGCAACATTCAATTCTGTCTCCACTGTATGCAAGGCAAGCCCTCGTGAACCCTGAGCTCGTGTTCATTACACAGAACTGACGGACTACTAACAAAGCACGAAAATCACCAAAAGCCACACTTCAGTGACGGTGTGTCTACAGCAGAACGTTTGCCTTCAGGGGACAGTCACCAGACACCTGGCTGGGCTGTGGGTGGTGTTCAGATCGCCTGCTGGTGCTTGGGGCCAAGTGTCTCCTCCCTCCACCACGACGCTGGCCCGCTCTCAGGCAGCACTTCCCCTGGATCCACACCGTGGAGCGGGAGCCGCGGGCCAGAGCACAGCCACCCCCCAGGGCCAGGACGGACTGCGGGACCACAAGTGCCCTTTCCCTGGCGCTCGGGCCCTTCTCTCCAGGACACTCCTCAATTGATCACGCACTTGTTCATCCACTCCTTCCTGACCAATCTGTTCTACCCAGGATTTAAGGTTGTTTATAACAACAGCAATGCACGCACAGAGATACACAAACGGAACTGAAAATAGAAGCTCAAGACCAGGGAATCTGGAGGAGCACATTTTAGGATGACAAATGACAACACCACAACGGGTCATATCTCATTACAAGAAACCTCCAACAACCTGTCTTAAGCAAGCACAAGGATGGCCACTCAATGTGTACATTTATGTATCTGTGCCTAAAATAGAAGGCTGCAGACAGAAGCGTTCCGTGTTCCACGCAGACTCACATTGTTATCTACAGGATGCCTGGTGTTAAGCTTGCGGGCAGCGTTCAGATCAGAACACAGAGCTGCTAACAAACGGAGTCGTGTGGCTGGTCCCTGCACGCCATTGCTGACTACATGGCTTCCCCGAGTGAAGTGGCCGTGAGCACCTCTAGGTAACAAGGATGCTAAGACACTGGGAGGGAGTGCAGGCCGTCAGTTTTGGGTAATAAGCACACCCAAAACTTCCATCCACAAAGGCGGAATTTTGATATACTTAGGTAACCCAGATGTGTTGAGTTTTCTTCCAATCCGGTTCCAAATTATTTGTTCATGACAAACGAATACTGACAACATAGGGAGGATTTCGTAAAACATTTCCAGAGTAAAACAGATCCATTTCTTTTTCTCTAACGTTACATCTTACATCCTCCCAAAAAGTGCTTCAGTTTCTTCTCTTTACTCTGAATTCCCGTGCTTTACACTTTATAAAAAGGCAAGCCCTTTCCCCCCTGAATGATTTACCTTCCGTCATGCAGAACACTCGGAGAAAAGCCAGAAGCTGGGCAGAGATGGGTGGCTCCGTGAAGTGCAACGCGAACACGCTGGAACTGACAGAAGCAGGAAGCAAGATCAGTCGCCCCGCAGCAGCTGCCTGCTGGCTCCCGAAGGAGCCCCCTAAATCTGCAGTGTGTGTGGCCGTCCTCGAGGAGAGCTGGGCTGAGTGAGCCATTCTGTCTCCTCGTCTGAACCACGACAGCACAAGTTTCAGGCCTTGCAAAATGCAGACGGCACGGGCTGCTTGCACTCGGGCGGCTGTGCCTTGGCGGCAACCGTCTCTGCCAGCTTTTCCTCTAATAGCTTTAATCTCAGGTTGCGTATAACACATTAAGAGAATTAAGCGTACTCATGATTCTTAAAAAATATTAATGATAATTTATGTTGAGTTCGCATTTTAATCATTAATCAAATATTGACAAGTTCAATACAAAAGGTCTGGATAATCCATTTTCATTAAGAGTGGTTCCTCCGTTCCCTGGAGAACTAATAAATCATCATTCTTGTCTTCTTCATCGTTTTGCACCTCAAATGCAAGAAAATATGAAAGAAGGTAACCAGAAATTCTTGAAATCACTGAGGATCAGGAGTTCCTTACAGAAACTAATGCTGGCAAAGAAGTAAATGAAACAAATTGATCCAGGCCATTAACCTTTTCAAGGTGAAAGACATTAATGATAGCAAAGCACTTATTTAGGGTAATGAGGGTTTCAAGCTGTACCCCCTAGAACTGACTGACTGTGAGTGCTCCCAGTGACACAATTATGTCTATCTGAGAACGTTCCCAAATCACAACGGCTTAAATGTGCTCTGCCACAAGGATAAAGGGATTAAGACGAACTACCGAAGAGAAGTTTTAGTAACACACCCATTAAACACTATGCAACTGGAAATATTTCAAGCGGCACAGGAAAAAGCTGACCGCTTTTTTTTTCTACGTACGTGGGGATGCCAGCGCGCGCCAAGACCTCAGCCTTCATAGCGTACAGCCTGTCGCTTTTACTCACTCCCAGTTTTATTTTCACTCTGTCGTGTGAATTATTGTCAAAGAAAAAACCACTGTGGATCACGAACTCTGCGTTTGACCGGGTGCCATAAAAAATGTAAATCTGAGATGCAGCAAAGAAAAAAAATAAAGAGACATAAAACAAATTTAAAATCCATTCGGGGCAGGCAAAGGATTTGTTCTCATTTATTTAATACTACTTTATACAAATGAAACAAAATAGCCATAAGGTCACTCTATGCCTTCTCTGTATATCACGTGTAGCTAGGGTGAGAGTTCAGCAAAAGTGTGCAGTTTTCCTAACTCCCCAAACTGTCTGAGGTGGGGTGCAGAAGTGCCCCCTCTTCCACCATAACACAGTGGGGGTGGCGGGGCTGGGAAGCACCAGCTGAGGGGTGAGGCCTGACTAGCACGCAAAGGACCCTGGGGCCCTGGGGCCATGAGGTCTTTCTCATAATCCACTTCTTCAGGGACGGCAAGGCTATCACACTGAGGCTGAAGTTTAAAACCCTCCATATTCTCCCTCTCCTTTTAATACTGGAGAGTTGATTCTAGAACAAGAGTTTAAAGCAATGACCTTCAGAAATCCATTTCTAGATCTGGAGGCAAGTCTGCATCTCGCAAGGGGGTTTCGTGAACTCTCCTGCAGGACAGCAGACCAGTACTTTCTGAGACTAGTATTTTTTGTTTTGTTTCAACTGGAATGTCTCTGGCCTATTTCAGTTCTGTTTTTTGTACTATATGCTTACTCACAAGACTGATAGATATAACACAGGTCTTTATAGACGCAGATTTTCAAACTTAACGAAAAGCTTAACCCTGCCCCCATGCAAATTACTAGAGAGAAAAATTCATAGATAAAAGTACAAGACAGATCTCATGGTTCCTGATTCTCTTGTGTTCTGCCACTTGAATACTGCCTCTTTATGAAGGGTCTAATCAACAGAAAAAGAAAGGAGAACAATGCCGTTTATGCAACTGAAAATCGTTTTAATGTTACAACTCCAAACTGATTTCCCGTGGACAGTGTTAGAAATATTAGGTCAATTGTGCAAATAATTATTTCTAAATCTTTTTTTCTTTGTGGACCCAAAGCTCCAATTCAAAGCACAATATGTTTAATTACAACTGTAGGTCTCAAGATGTGTTCTGGAAAACAAATATTCCTAAATATAAATCCCACATCCATCTGTCTAAGTTAGATACCATTTAAAAAATGACCAACAGCAGCACAGGAACACCCCCGTGCCCCTCACTGCTTCGCGTCTGTGAGCTGCAGGGGAAACACACCTGCTCCCCGGCCCTGAAGTCCTGCAGAGCCACACACTCGCAGCGGTCATCCTCCAGGTTGTAACCGGTTGTGATCTGGCCGAGAGAAAGGAGGCAGAAGCATGAGCCACGGATGTCCACGTCCTCTAATCACAAGGGGCTCTGTGAGCAATTAGAGGTGAAAAGGTACCCACACGTACTTCCAAGGGTGCACGCTGAATGTTTTACAAAAGGAGCAAACTTACTTGACGCATGAATCCCCAGAGGAAACAACAGGCTCCCCAGCTTCTACCAGAAGTTCCTCCTCAGAGGTCTGCCCCTTGGAGCAGCCTCCCAATACTCTAAGATTGTCTGGAAATGCTCATCAGTTACTTTCTGACCTGCTCATTTTATGCTAGGGGATCAAAGCTCCAAGATAGCTGTAAGCGTATGATACAGGCGTCAGCATCTTAGATCCAAAGGGAGAATGTTTTGGAGTCTTGGGAGTCGCATTTTGGGATGGAAGGCCATGGAACACTAGTCTTTAATTCCAATATCTCAGGATCAATGGCTGATTAACCATATCATGTCTAAAAGTCTTTCCCACTTCTGATCTGCAAAGACCAAATGGGATTTCACTTATTTACTCATTCTAAACCATACTATTTATCAAACTTGACCATCAAAATGCAGAGGAAAAACAATGAGAAAGAAATCAAGCCAGGCCTTCTGGCACGCTTTCCTTGAAAAGCAGTTTAAACACTGGATTCAGATTAAAATCAGCTCCCTGAAGTTCCTGCCCAACATCTGATTCACTCTGCTGATCCCAAAGCATGGTCTTGCTAGTGAAGTGGGAAGTAAGGAACTGCCCTCTACCATGAATTCCCGGCATGGTGCTGTCATATAGACTGGCAGGAGCATCGCCAAGAAGGAAGGGGGTTAGGGGAAGGACGAGGGAAGGAAGGAAGGAGGTTAGGGGAAAGAGGGAAGAACAAAATCAGGAGGAGGAGGAGGCAAGGAAGCAGGTTGGGGAAGGAAGAGAGAAGGGAGTTAGTGAAGAAGGAAGAAAGTTAAGTTAGGGGAGAAGGAAGGAAGGAAGTTGGGGGAGAAGGAAGGAAATAAGTTAGGGGAGAAGGAAGGAAGATGGGGAGAAGGAAGGAAGGAAATTAGGGGAGAAGGAAGGAGGTTAGGAAAAGGAAGAGAAAGGAAGGGAGAAAAGGGAAGTTAGGGAAGGAAGTGTTGTTCAATCTGTGGTGGAGAAATGATCACAGGTGTTTAAATATATTTTACGGACATTTCCAACTCTCAGAAACTTCAGAAAACTTCAAGGCTTACCCTCACACAGATATGTTACGCAGCCCTTTCTTTGCAAGAGCCAGAACACTTTGAGGCTGAGTGTGTGATTTCTGAGTGTGGCACTGCCACTTTCCTCTAGGGTTGTATTGAAAACACATCTGATGAATGAATAAACAAGATGTGGTACACACCATACAATGAATATTATTCAGCCGCAAAGAGAAATGAAGTTCTGATACATGCTACTACATGGATGAACCTTGAAAACATTACGCTGACTAAAACAAGTCAGTCACGAAAGGACAAGGATGGTATGATCCCACCTATATGAAACATCTAGAACAGTGGTTACTAGGAGCTGGGGAGGAAGTGATAGAGTTGCTGCTGAAGGGATGCTGAGTTCCTGCTTGTCCTTATTGATGCGTGCCATCGAGTCCATTCCAACTCACAGAGGCCCTACGGGGCAGAGCAGACCTGCCCCACAGGGTCTCCTAGGCTGTAATCTTTATGGGAGATCACCAGGTCTTTTCTCCCATGCAGCGGCTGGTGGGTTTGAACTGCTGACCTTTCCGTTAGCAGCCAAGCACTTAACCATTATACCACCAGGGCTCCCGAGTTTGTTTGAGGTGATAGAGAACTTTCAGACAGTGATGATGGTCATGCAGCATGGTGCAAGTCATGAATGTCACTGAATTGTACATTCAAGAACGGTAAAGCGGCCAAGGCTTTGTTACATGTATTTTATCACAATAAAATTACAGACATGCTAGCCGGGGCTTGGGGTCCCTGCCGCCCCCTCTGCCGAGGCCGGGTTCTAAAGGCTCCTCCAAGGGGCAGCAGGAAGCAGCCCCCGGCCCCTGCTGCCTCCTCTGCCTCTGCTTCTAAAGGCCCCTCCAAGGTACAGCAAGAAACAGCCCCCGGCCCCTGCCGCCTCCTCTGCCTCTGCCCGGGGTTCTAAAGGCCCCTCCAAGGGACAGCAGGAAGCAGCCCCCGGCCCCTGCAGCCCCCCTGCCAGAGGCCGGGTTCTAAAGGCCCCTCCAGTGGACAGCAGGAAGCAGCCCCCCGGCCCTTGCCGCCCCCTCTGCCCAAGGCCGGGTTCTAAAGGCCCCTTCAGGGGACAGCAGGAAGCAGCCCCTGGCCCTTGCCGCCCCCCTGCCCGAGGCCGGGTACTAAAGGCCCCTCCAAGGGGCAGCAGGAAGCAGCTCCCCAGCCCTTGCCGCCCCCTCTGCCCAAGGCCGGGTTCTAAAGACCCCTCCAAGGGGCAGCAGGAAGTAGCCCCCCGGCCCTTGCCACCCCCTCTGCCCAAGGCCGGGTTCTAAAGGCCCCTCCAGGGGGCAGCAGGAAGCAGCTCCCACTCAGGCAAGGCTCCGGTCTCCCTGGGAGGCCTCCGAGGGGAGTAAGGACCCTGCTGCTGAGTACGGGTCCTGCAGGAGGGACTGGACACCACCACGGCCACAACCCACAGCCACTGACCAGGCCCGTCTCAGAGCCCAGGCCGGGGAGGCTGGAAAGGGCGGCGGTCCCGCAGGCGGCCTAGAGACGCCGGGCACTGCCACACTTGTCCTTCACTCCTCCTCACCTCCCCAGATCCACGCAGTGTGCTGCATGGCCCCATCCCGCCCCAACTGACTTCCTCCCACAGATGTTCACTGAGGGCCTGGTACATGCCAGGCACTAAGCTGGCACCTGGAAAACAGCCCAAAAACCCTCAGTCCCCAAGATGGCCATGGGAAGAAACACATTCCAAACCCAGGCATACACGGAGCTGCACACAACCCAAACCCAGGTATACACAGAGCCGCACACAGCCCCGGGGGAGCCCCAAGTCTGCCTGTGGCGGGGGCTGAGCTGGAGCTGAGGAGGAGTGTGCGCACGGCAGGGAATGGGGGGCCACCTGCAGCTCCTTCTCGGCTCCGGTTCCTGGGAGCACACGTGTGTGTACATCACACTTGTCTTCAGCTCTGTATGCAACGCAGCATCCTCTCCCATGTACCCCCAACCAGACTGCACACTCAACAGGCAGGGGCCACATCAGTGTTCCAGCATCACCTACATGTGAATATTAAACAGGAGGAAGTGCACCGCACACACACGCGCACACACACACCCCTCAGGATGTAAACAGCCAGGGTCAGTGATAACGTTCATCTTCCTCTTATACTCTTCTGCGTTTTCCGAGTCTTCCTCAGTAAGTCCATGTCATCTGACTTTCATCGCTGGGGTGGGGGGATAAGGTAATGCATGCTCAGCAGATAGAATTGGGAAAACAAGCGAACCAACGAACCAGAAAGGAGGAGCAGATCGCAATCCCATTAACATTTTGGTTGATATCCTTCTGGCCTTTCTCCTAGGCATGGGAAATACTACCTACAAGCACCGAGTCCCCAGGCGCGCACGCATTCCCACCGCCAGGCACTGGGGGTTCTGCGAGGAACAAAACAGACAGACCTCCCTGCACTCTAATGGGGGGGGGGGCGGATATACAGAAGCAAACAGGTGAGGCAGACAGGACACAGACGACAGAGTGAAGGACGGTGGGCAGGAAGGGCTGGCTCTGGGGAGTGTGTGGCCATTTTAGACACAGCACTCAGAGGGCACAACTGCCCCAGGAGGGAGCTGCTGGCCCCACTTTACAGAGCAAGAGAGAGGGGTTCCAACTTTAGGGAGCATGTTCAAGGCCCCAGAGATCCTGAGCCTCGGCCTGAGGCGGGGGCAGTGAACTGGTAGAACCAGGACTCAAACCCAGGTAAGCCCGGCTACTTAGAACAAACTACTTTTAAATAATCTTTATGGGCTTTTTCCATGTACAATATACATACTTAGTGTAAAAACCTCAAACATTTCAGAATGTACTACCACCATGTTACGTTGCTTCCTTCAGTTGCTGTGGCACTGCCCCAGGCCCTCCCATTTGCCAAATCATCGGAGCTTTACTTGTGAGGCCTGTGCCACCCAGACCCCATGCAGCCCGCAGCTTCCCTTCGTCACACCAGCATCACAATGTCCTCTGCGTTTGTCTTCTGGAGAGTCAGCCTCTAGTTAGAGATGTAAAAAGAAAAGCACACTCGCTAGGAGAACTGGTAGATGGACTGGATGCAGATCCAATACCCTAGATGCTGGGGAGTGAAGGAGGGAGGGAGGGAGAAAGGATAGGA